CGCGGTCCGATCGATACTCACTTTCCAATTTACATTAGATTACTATTTCTCCTCTTCTGTAAAAGCCAGACGAGTTTAGCCGGATCTTAGCATTCCGGTATGACCCTCAACAAGCAATCAACAAGTGTGCCCGAATATAATAACGTAGTACAGTGCAGTCCGGGTGATCTGGTGAACCTTTCCCCTCAACCAGGAACAACCCTTGGTTCTACTGGTAGTCGGAGGAAAACCTCCGACTGCCAAATTCTCGGATTTTAGGCCCCGGAGCTTAGCGGCTGTCAATCCTCGCTTCAGGAAATAAGATTTGTCAGATCCACTGACGTAGTCATAGCTCGTTCAGTACCGATACACCATTTGAACTCTTTGGCCTTCCCAGAATCATTCCCCCACTCTCCCAGTTCATCTAATCATACCTGTACTTGAAAAGGCATTTCGACGCCTATCCTTTTTCAGCCCAGCTCCATTCCCCTTTGATGGCGGATATATGGCTTCCCGCATCCTTCGATTTCTAAGCAACTCTAGGCTCAAGCCAAAACAAATTCCTTGCACGGAGGATCTGCTATCGTAGAGCCTTTCTCCCATCTTCCTTATCGACATTCCCCTCATGGCTTCATTGTGCCTTCACTAACCAGAAAGTCCCTTGAAGTTCACTATCCTACCGGTCCTATCATCAGGAGCAAAGTTTTCCCTGAAGGATTAGCCTTTCCCTGACACTCGTTAGCCGATACCCGCAACCTTGTTCACTTCTCGAGCCACTTCATAACCGATGCTGGACAGGTACAGCTTGAAAAATTTATGATATCATATTAAGAGCAACACTCGGGGCCAGGGCCTGTGTTATCGGGCCCAAACACCCCGACATCCGAGCAGCCGTGCAGCACAGCGGCATCCGTAAAGCATCGAAAGCCCCAAATCAAAGGTTTTTCATTTTTTTAAAAAAAAAAACAAAAGCCCTCATACCCCTCCCTGTACCTCAAGATATACTATTAACAAGAGAGCTGGAAGAACCCCTTCGATAACTACCTTCAGATATGCCTTTAGGATATGCCTTCAGGGATACTATAGAATTTATCAATCTGCTCCTCTGAATAATAAGAAAGATAGAGTGAGCAAAGAGCTCCCAAGGGCTGAGGTTGCTTGGAAGAGTAGAACCCCACAAACGCGGCCACAGACGAAGGGATGTGGGAAGCAGTGCTTGAGGCGACAGGAACATATTCTGAACTATCCCTTTTTTTACCATTAATTTTTTCATGATCCCTCCTTTTCCCGCTCATATACTCAGTAGTGTGGCCCCAATTCAGTTACTATAATGTGTTCCTACTGATTCCCTAAATAATTCAGGCCTTCGAAGGAGTTCATAAACTCGAGCCCCATGCCTTCGTTGATTTTCATCACTAACCCCCCCCTCCTTCGTGCTCACACTGATCCAAACTAACCGCCTAAACCTTTAACAAACCAGGAATCTCGCCGCCAGTTGCCGCGGCAGCCCCTAACCCCCCGAGCCATTCCCCAGGCACCAGCTCTCCGGTCCCAGAAAGCGCCCGTGAGGGTGATTGATGACAACCACGAACCCTTAAACAGTCTAGCCTCTCACTCGGGCTAGTACCGCTATCTTAGACGCAAGTATAAATCGATCCTCAATCATGGCCTTCTCAATCTTACACTAGTCACAAGCTAGGACCCTATCCATTGCCTGCCAGGACCCTCCTAGATCGCAATAGATATTCCTATCCACACCCCAAGTGCTAGTGCTCCCTCGTAGAGCTTTGGCTCTTCAGAAACCGCTACAGTGGCGACCCCAGTCTCAAGAGCGGAAGCGGAAGCTCCCCCCTCGCATGATATCCCTATACCTCCAAGCTTCCCCGCGACGCAAGATGAGCCGATAGCACTACCCAAGGAGCTCGGTGGGCTCTCCCCACGGTCCATGTCTTCGTCTTCAGATGGCGAAGTTATAACCAATAGAGGCTTTCAGAAGGAAACCACAGGTGGGGAGGGGTTGAACCCGAAGCAGAGTTGGTGGCGGAAAAAGCGCCAGTTCAACCCCTTGAGATGGGGGCCTGTGCCCCCAATTCCAACCCAGATGTCTGTGAGCAAAGAGGCAGATGCGGGGTGTTTGAGTAGGGTTACATTCGCATGGATGGGACCGTTGATGAGAGTTGGGTACTCAAGACCACTCGTGCCAACCGACATTCCATTAGTGGCGCCCAACCGAAGTTCAAGGGTCATTACGAATAAACTTCAGGCTTCGTTCGACCGAAGGAGAAGGCAGGGTGATCAATATCCATTGCTATGGTCTCTGAATGAGGTCTTCTTTAGGGAGTTCTGGCTCGGTGGGTTTTGCAGATTTGTCGCCGATTGTTTGTTAATTTTTGCGCCGTTTGTGCTCAAGTGAGTAACTCATCACCATGCAGACCAACAGGTTCATTTTTACCGTTATCTGTACGTCTATTAACCAAAGTGTCTCAGATATCTCATTCAATTTTCAATTGAAGCCTATACCGCTTCCGAGCGTGGAACTCCTGGACCCCCTGTTGGTCGAGGGATTGGCCTTGCGTTTGGCCTAGCTCTCATGCAAATGTTTGGATCACTATTCATTAACCAGTTCCTATACCGTGGTATGATAGTTGGCGGCCAAGCACGAGCCGGACTCATCGGATTGATATTCTCCAAGTCATTGAAGATCTCCGGGAGAGCGCGGGCCGGTGGCACATCAAGTCGGAATAACGTGAGCGATTCGGAAGCCACTGCAGGACAACAGGAGAAGGATAAGAAAGACAAGAAGAATAAAAGGGATGGGGAAGGAATGGGTTGGCCCAATGGTAGGGTTGTCAATTTAATGAGTACAGATTCCTATAGGGTTGATCAGGCGGCCTCCTGGTTTCATTTATTATGGACTTCAGCGTTTCAAATAATATTGACATTGGTATTACTACTCATCAATATTTCGTACTCTGCTCTTGCCGGATTTGCACTCCTTATCTTAGGTGTTCCGGTGCTGTCGTGGGTTGTCAATATTTTGGCAGCACGTCGAAGAGCCATGAATCGAGTTACCGACAAGCGAGTAGGCTTGACCCAGGAGATTCTTCTAGGCGTGAGATTTGTCAAGTTTTTTGGATGGGAAAAGAGCTTCCTTCAGAGACTTGAGTCGCTCCGGAATACGGAAATCGGTGCCATTCAATTCCTACTGGGAGTGAGAGCCGGAATAAATGCTGTTGGGATGAGCCTTCCCCTTCTTGCTTCAATGCTAGCATTCATTACATATTCCCTCACCGACAATCACCTTAACCCTGCATCCATATTCTCATCACTCGCCCTGTTCAACGTCCTTCGTTTGCCTCTAAACCTTCTCCCCGTAGTCATTGCCCAGACAATTGATGCTTGGGTGTCTATCCAGCGGATGCAGGAGTACCTACTCGCGGAAGAGCTAAAGGATGAAACCGTAATTTGTGATAACCCGGACTACGCCATTGAGGTTTCCAATGCATGCTTCACCTGGGAAAGGTTTCAGGCCGAGGAGAGGCACGATTCGGATAAGACTAAAGGTGAACTAAAGAAAGAGAAGCGTCAGCAAAAACAGCACAGAAGGGACGAAGTCGCAAGAGTACGAAATGGCGAACCGGAAGCCGGAAGTGTTTCTGCTGCCACAACCACGGAGGAGCCCTTCTCCCTCAAGGACATCAACCTCCATGTTGGCCGTCAGGAACTAGTTGCCATTGTGGGCTCTATTGGCAGTGGCAAGAGTTCACTGTTAGCTGCGCTGGCCGGCGACATGAGAAAGACCTCCGGGAACATCAAACGAGGACCCCGCGTTGCCTATTGCCCACAGTACGCTTGGATACAAAATACCTCCGTCAGAGAGAACATCATATTCGGGTGTGAATTTAAAGAAGATTGGTACGCAGATGTGATCGACGCTTGCACACTGCAGCAGGATCTAGATATGCTGCCCGATGGCGACCAAACGGAGATAGGCGAACGCGGGATCACAATTTCCGGTGGACAGAAGCAGAGACTTAATATTGCAAGAGCAATTTACTTTGATGCCGACATCGTATTGATGGACGATCCTCTTTCTGCCGTCGATGCTCATGTGGGCAGACACCTATTCGACAAGGCCATATGCGGACTCCTCAAAGATAAATGCCGGATCCTTGCAACGCATCAGCTGCACGTCATCAACAAGGTGGACCGAGTTGTATGGATGGAGGGTGGGCGGGTAGAGGCTATCGGCACATTCAATGAGTTGATGGAGTCCAATGTTGAATTTGCGAGAATGATGAGCGAGATCGCAACAGAGTCGAAAGAAGACGAAAAGCCCCCCGCGGACGATCAGATCGAGGAAGAGCCAGCGGTGGAAAAGCCCAAGGACAACAATTTTGGTGAGAAGGGTAATGGGCTGCAGGCAAAGGCACTCATGCAGGCCGAGGAGAGGGCTGCTAAGAGTGTCCCCTGGAATGTATACAAAGCGTACATCAAGGCCTCTGGAAGTTACCTCGTCGCCCCAGGGGTTGTGTTTCTCTTGGTCATCTCCCAATCCTGCAATATCGTTGCGACGCTCTGGCTCAGTTGGTGGGTCAGTGATAGATTTGGGCTTTCCCGGGGCACCTACATTGGGATATTCGCTGCTCTTAGTATCGCACAGAGTCTCTTGATGTTTGCCTTCTCCTTTGCACTTACGATTGCTGGCACAAGGAGTAGTAAAGTACTCATGCACGAAGCCATGCAATCAACTTTAAGAGCTCCAATGTCATTCTTTGATACCACTCCCATTGGTAGGATTGTCAACCGCTTTTCTAAAGATGTGGACGTGATGGACAACAATCTTACGGACGCCATGAGAATGTATTTCTTTACACTGACAATTATATCATCCGTTATCATCCTCACCATTATTTATTTCCACTACTTTGCTATTGCGCTGGTACCATTGGCGATTGGATTTATTTTTGCGGCATCATACTATAGGGCATCGGCCCGCGAGGTCAAGCGGCATGAGTCGGTTTTAAGGTCCGTGGTTTTCGCAAAGTTTGGAGAGGCACTCCTAGGGACGGCTTGTATCAGAGCGTATGGCCTGCAAGACAGATTCATCGATGAGATTCAAAAAGCGATCGATGGAATGGACTCGGCATACTTTATCACATTCGCGAATCAGAGGTGGTTGAGTTTGAGACTAGACATCATCGGCAATCTGTGTAAGTTTTTCAAACCCCTCGATGATTATTTGTAGTCTCATTCACACCTAATGCCTTCTCCTAGTGGTCTTTACGACAGCGATTCTAGTGGTTACATCCCGATTTAACGTTAACCCGAGTATTTCTGGAGTCGTGCTGTCATATATCCTTCAGATTGTAATGGTGCTGCAGTGGATGATTCGTCAGTTAGCCGAAGTCGAAAATGCAATGAACGCAACGGAAAGAATCTGCTTTTATGGGAACTCACTGCCTTCCGAAGCCGAGCTGCATAAGGGTGCTATTCGGCCCTCTTGGCCAGAACACGGTGAAATCACGATGCGCAATGTAGAGATGCGATACAGGGACGGCCTACCACTAGTTCTTAAGGGATTCAGTATACACATAAACGGTGGCGAACGTATCGGGATCGTCGGTCGCACAGGTGCAGGGAAGAGTTCGATCATGAGCGGGCTCTTCCGGCTCGTCGAACTAAGTGCTGGTAGTATCGAGATTGACGGGGTTGACATTTCCAAGATTGGACTCCACGACCTGAGGAGCAAGTTGGCCATTATACCGCAGGACCCGACTCTCTTTCGCGGAACGGTCCGGTCTAATCTGGATCCATTTGGAAATCATACTGACGAGGAGCTATGGGGGGCGCTCCGTCAGGCAAATCTCGTCGAAGATGTGCCAGCTGATGGCGCTGCGGCGAGCGGGAGAATAACCCTAGATGGGGTCGTGGAGGAGGAGGGAATGAACTTCTCTTCAGGGCAGCGCCAACTCATGGCTCTGGCAAGAGCTCTTGTGCGGGGGAGTCGGATAATTGTCTGTGACGAAGCCACTAGCAGTGTGGACATCGAAACAGACACGAAGATCCAAGAAGCGATAGCAAAGGGGTTCAAGGGGAGAACATTGCTCTGTATTGCTCATAGATTGAGGTATTTATACCCCTATTTTGACAATATACTCTTTCATCCATCACACGGATAACTAACGGGCATACAGAACCATTGTCAAATACGACCGGGTATGCGTGATGGATGCCGGGAAGATTGCAGAAATTGGCACACCTCTCGCGCTTTTCGATACAGGGGGTATCTTCCGGGGTATGTGCGACAGGAGTAAGATTAGGAGGGAAGACTTTTTTACAACTGGCGGCGATTCTGGGGGCGGGTGAGCGCATCGAAGTGGGTGGGCATAGAAGTGGAAAATTTTGAAGTGGGGAGTAGGGAGTTGTGGGCAAAAAGGACAATTGATCGGAGATGCGGAGAAGCATTTGGAAGGTTTATAATAGCGCCGGGAGTGCTTCCGATACATTATCGATATTTCATGTGATGGATTTGGCATGTACTTGTATCATACCAACCTTAGGAAGAATGTTGCAGTTGGGCTTTTGTTCTTATCTACTACAAGTGATGAAGTGCGGGTTGGTACCCGTCCAGCAAAGCTGCGTGCATAAAGTTCCACTACTCATACCCTTCGAAGTACTTCTCGTCTTTGGAAATACTTCACTGCCCCTCTCTTTCCACTATTCAATAAACCAGATTGCGAGAGGTTCACAACATCCCCAGAGGCATATCCGAAGACAGATATCTAGAAGGTTTTTTGCCATCCGTTGTTAATAGGTATTGTTCCTAAGGTACAAGGAAGTATAGCAGGAGAACTTTACAGACATGGCTGCGGAGCGCAGTACTCGTACTATATAGTTATTGTTAACCTGCATATCGCACATAGCATAAAAGACAAGGAGAAGTTCAGTGCTGAACACGACAGACAACAGCGCCCGTACTATACAGGTTGGAATTCAATGCGACAAGGGAGTTGCATATACTCTAGTACAGTACTGGTAGTTGACTACAGGTTAAGGGGGGGGGGTTACGATGATAAGGGGTAAAGTAGTATAGAAAGCCAAGTTAATGGATAGAAAAAGGAAATCTTCCTCCTTCATTCCTACCCAAAAAATTAACTTTCCTGTACGGGTAGAGAATTTTCATTTCACAATAGGGTCCGATTTGGGATTATGGAATCACGGACTAGACAACCAATGGAAATTGGGATTGTCTTGAAGTCTCCCTGGTTCAAATTGCACTTTCTACGGTAGCCTTAGCTAGCATGCTTGCTATGGGTCTTCCTGTATGCTACGAGTACGAATAATCTAAGGACTTGAGGAAGAAGAAAAATATTACACTGCACTAGTTGGTTTCCTCGGTGGATCTGGACCTACACATACACTAGCACAAGTACCCGGTTTTTTAGAGCCCGGACACAAGGAACAAAAATTTGTATGGCAAATTGTCTGTGCACATCTGTGCGCCAACGCTAAATTCAGACTCAAATGTTCGGGTCCTTAATGCAGGGTACTTGCAACGCTGCTGACGGGTGGAAAAGCCAGTCAATGTCGATCGGTATCCAATCAAAGCAGTGAGGAAAAAGAAAAGAGGTCCTGCAGGAGAAACTTGTAACAATCCAGTTAAACAAAATGCAGAAAAGAAATCCAAGTAGTCGGGATTCACCGGGAGAGAAACAGGGAGCTCACTGCTCAACTACGGCGATATGAGCGGGCAAGATGGAGGAGAGGACGCAGGTGTTGTGTGGCAAGATAAATCAGGTATCATAATACGGTAGGCAGGCAGCGACGAAGCCGCGGCAAGAGTGCTCTAGTAATTGTAAGAACTTGTAAGAGCGTTGAGATACAGAGAAAAAATATTTCTACAAAGTTGACCGTGTCTGTCTCTCAGCTTGTCCTAGGTGCGGGAAAGAAGTACCAGTGCTAGTTAGCAAGTTGTCGAAAATTGGGATTATAGAAATAACTTCTACTCGAGTGCTAGTACCAGTACAGCAAAAAAAGCCTAAACCCACTTGAGTGACAATACAAAACACACCCGCCCCCTGGTTTTGGGTACTCCCTTTCCCTTTGTTTTTATATGATAAAACTTCTTGCCTAGGACAAGTACAGTACCGGTATCTATGTCCGCCCGGCTGTCTGTACTGTAAGTTCCCTACCAGTGGATCTTTTCGCTCTGCGAGTTTGCTCTTTCTTCCTTCTCTCTTCCAGCCAGCGGACAACCGTTGTCTGCTTCTCTGTCTGGTGTCTGTCATTCCGTCCCTTGAGCAGATAAGACAAGACATAACTGTACTCGTACAGTAAGCAAGAAAAACACAACAATGTGGCAGCCGCGGAATTACTCTTCTCACAGTATTCTGGGGAACGGGATGCCAGCCGCACCCCCATTTATCAAGCCTCAGTCAGTTCCAAACCCAACCCAAAATCTCTCTCTCACTGCTGTACTGTACCAATGGTTTCGAAAACCACCACCGCTCACCCAACAAGAGAAAAAGAAAAGAAAAGCAAACCCCCCCGCCAAGTCTAAGTTACTCCATACCTGACACCCTTACCCTAGCCCAATGAAGAAAAGAGGGAAGAAAAAAAAGAGGAAGAGAAAAGAAAGAGTTCCCATCTTTTCCCTTCTATCCCGTACCCCCCCATCTACTTAACTCTCCGATCCCGACAATTTCAGTACCGTGGCATATACACTCCCCAACTCAAGTCTCTCCTTCATCCAGCAGCAGGTAGCAAGCGGCACAAACAAGCTACGACAAAATGCCATCATCCCCGCCGACGCCTATCACGATTATCACGGGCTTTCTTGGGTCCGGGAAAACAACATTGTTGCTGAAGCTTCTACCGCAACTGCCGGCGAATTACGGGCTTGCATTGTTGAAGAATGAGTTTGGCGATGTGGCGGTTGACAGTCGATTGGCTTCTCAAGGGTCTATCTCTGGAGTGAAGGAGTTGCTGAATGGATGGTTTGTTATTCATTTCCCCCCAAACCTAACACAACCGTGGGATAACCAATTGACTTGTGAGTGGGGGGTTGTAGTATTTGCTGTAACCTCATCGGGCAATTGGGAAATGCACTTGTTACATTAAAAACCGATTATAAGCCGAATAGGATTGTAATCGAGACTTCCGGGAGTGCTTTTCCCGCTACACTTGCTATGGTTTGCTCCTGCCGCTATCCCAGGATTCATTTATTGTGCTAATGGTCAGAAGGAAGTAAACCGTGTCATCTCCGAAAACCCAAACTTCTTCGTCTTGGACGGTGTAATCCTGGTAATCGACGTGGAGAACTGGGCCGGTTATGTCGACACCTCGTACACCGCAAAGCTACAAGCCCGGTACACAGATCTGATAGTTCTGAACAAGTGGGAGAGTGTAACAGAACGACGGGAAGACGAGGTGCTGGACAGAATTAGGGATGTGAACGAAGACACACCGGTCGTGAAAAGCGATAAGGGATGGGTATCCAAGGACATAATATTTGGCATTGACAGCGGTCTAACGAGGGAACTGTCCGCAGCAACAATAGCACAGAACCACGAGCACGACGAAGGGGGTGGGGAGGAGCATACCCAAGAAGTAGACGTTATATCCATAACACTACCGTACCGAGCCGAGGAGGGCGGGAAGTGGATTGATCTGGAAGCACTCGATCGGTTCCTAACGTCTGCTCCAAAGGATGAAGTCTACAGGATAAAGGGATCCATATTCTCGCATACAAAACCGAAATCTGACCCACCAATAACAAAAGACGCGCACCGGTTTATCCTAAACTGGGCATTCGGTCGATGGACATTCACAGCCCTCACAAAGTCTAGTGTGTCCACAGTAATTGAAGCACCAGCCCTACGTCCCGCCACCTCTTCATCCGCGAATTCCACCGCGCCACCCAGCCCGTCGGAAGAGAACCAACGAATCGAAGTAATCGTCCAAACAAGCATAAAAACCACTGTGGAGCAACGGGACCAAAATGACGATGGACAGGAATGGGACGGCGAACCGGTGGGCAGGTTTGTGGTCATCACGGCCCGTGGTGAGGGCGAACGGTGGCGCAAGCGGATCGAGAAGGAATCATGGATCAAGTTTGACTCGGACATTTTGGAAACTGGGCTCGATGTTGTCCAGATTACGTGACTTACCCGACTACCAACACGGGGGAAAGAGGCATGCGGAGATGGAGAAAGCGGTAGAAGAGGCGGCGGGTTGGTGGCGTTGGGGCTTCTCTGGGATTTTATGGTATATGCTGTTTTCCAAAAAAAAATTGGGAATGACAGTAATCATCACAATAAATCACTCGAAATAGTAATCCCACAGACCCACCGTTCCTTCCACATCCGATAGACAATCGTGAAAAAAACACAGACCCATTCCCTAGAAAGGACATAGCCCCTTGGTTAGTGTCCGCCGCTCCACACGCACCGGGCACAGCATCAGCATTGTCTCTGGTATTATACCGTACCCCAAGATCCTCTTTTTCCCGGGAAGGGAAGGAGAGGACGAGGCCTCCTTTCATCAGCCATCCACCTTAAATCACTGTTCTTATCTACCGGTACGATAGGATATAGTACACTAAATAGATTCTCACTTCATGGGTGATATGACGTACAAAGCATTGCTTATTCTTCTCAGGGACTTCTAGCGTGAAGAGCTAGATTTCCCGCCGTGATGTACAGTTATGCCCCGGCACTTTATTCCCAAGGTATCATAACAATGGAAGGGAGGGATGGAAGAGGGGTAATGTTTCACGAAGCTTTTAGTGTGGTAAAAGTGTTCGGCCCCGTCGAAGTGGGCGAGGGTGTAATTTAGTGAGTGATCGCTAAGTATTATCAGTAGTAGAATCGCACAAACCTGTGAAGGGGGTCGGGAGGCAGGCCACTCTATGAAAGTCTTGTTTTATGTTTTGGCCCTTATTCACCCTTCCCCCCCTTTTGTTCTGGTAAACCATAGCTTTAGTACCACAAAACCTCCTAAAATCCACCACCTCGGGCCATTCCCAATCTCCGTGACTAAATCTTCTATAACCTATGGGGGGTGGTAAGTGCGGTATAGTGTACTGTCGTTGGGTCAGGTTCTTCCGCATGTTTGATGGGTCTGTCGGGGGGGGGGGAGCATAGTTGTGTAGGTAGGTAGTATACGCTGGGGTATATCCTTCTAGTAGTATATTCTGCGCAAAGGAGCGGGTTGAGTTGTTTAAAGTAGCGGATGCAGGCAGGCACAAGACCATTCCTTAGGGAAAATTTTCTCCCGAATCTATCTACATTACCTGTAGTTGCTCGTAAAGAAATAATTTGGGCCTCCCGCTGACCGCTCAGTTAGGTTGTGAATGGAGCGCATACCCGGAGCCAGCAACTATTTGCCAAGTGAGATGACAGCAGTGAGTCAATATGACAATCAGATCGCCTGGATATCTGTCACTCTCCTACCCTAAACTACCGACCCGAAAGTCGGAGGTAAGCGTCTAGTGGAGCAATTAAGGCTGTTCCCCGCCCAAGCAGCGGAGTTTCCCTTGGAGTGAACACGATAGCATACAGCATTGGCGGTCATTAAACATCACTCGCAAGTCCCTCCTTCTCACCTCACATACGGTATCATATTATCTCAGTTGTGCTGTTAGAACTGGATGTTGGTTCGCACCTCTCCCGATCACCCAGCGAACAAGGGGCTATTCCGATCCTACGGATCTACGTATCGGAGATATTGTGTGGAAATATATATCTAATTCGCAGGTGTGATAAATGTCCCGTGTTCTTCGGTCGGCCGGCCATCAGATTTCTCCTTACATTAGACTCTGGACGGCGTTTGAAAGGGAAATGTTCATCAGCGCTCACTCGGAATGTTTCTTTTTCTTCTTTCTTTCTTTCTTTTTTTACTTCCCTCTTAGAAGACCATCTGATCACATGCAGGAATTAAGTTATTTCGTGCGCCACGCATGTCCCATATCACCGTGAGCCTTTACATATTTACCAGACAAATACAATTCGAGATAGATTGAATCCATGAAGTCGGTAGCGAATTACTCGGTAGGGAGCCCGAAAACAAAGTACTGCTTCGTGGGGGATTTTTTTTTGGAGGCAACCAGATCTAGAAAATTTAGGCTTGATTGCGAGCCGCGTTTTCTTTTTTTTTCTTTTTTTTACCCTCTTCGTTTTATTCGTTATGATACCATCGGCAAGAATAATATTTGACCAAGAGAGCGCGAACATTTCTGCCTGAACTACGGGAAAAGCTCGTCAATGGTGATAATGATATTTCGCTCTTGCTGAAAGTGACGAGTCAAGTTTGCCCTCATCTGTACTAGTAAGAGTACCAGTATCACTGATCTCTTTTTAATTTCTGCACTTTATGAGGGGGTTGCTGGAGATCAGCGCCATCATACCTACACATTGAATTCATGATGGGGGCGCATTTTTCTAACCCAGGGACGTCGGCTTACTCCAACTGGCAGACCCCGCTCTGTTGATTGGGGAGACAATAGCATTGGCAAACCGTACTCGTACTGTTCGTGTGTGCCGTATTGTAGATCTAGAAGGTCAAAGAGGAGCTCTCCTCCACCGAGTTGCGTCCCTTATCACACGGCCGCGGCGCCGCGGCCCTGAAAAAGTTGACACTTCACATCAATAGTAATTGGCTTCCTCCCCGCCCGTTATTCGAAATCTCAAAACTGATCAGCGCTCCCGAAATCGGCCCGGCAATTGCGTCCGTGAACAGCACTCAATAATCGGTATCAACTCCTCTTCAGTGCTCTACAGTATGCACGCTGCCTTAGCGGGCAGCAAGCATACCGGCAATCCACTTCCTGCGAGCTACCGTATTCGACTTGCGATTCGCCATGTCTCCTGCATCGGAGGATTCACCCTCCTTCCCAGTCCTTCGTTATTGGCCTGGGGTTGGGTAATTGGTTGGCTAAAGAATTATTGCTCTTCTGAAAATTTTTTAGCAAGCCACCCCCCACATCGCAAATCAGTTGTGTGCACTGAAACTTATCCATGGGGCATTTTTCGCATTTATCCGGCTGTTCAAACTGTATACCAAGTGACGCTATCGTGCGGTATGCCTCCAATATCCACACGTCGAACGCGGTGTATCATTCTTGCCGCACTATACTCGAGTAGAGGCTTAGATTTCAAGAATTGATATCGCTCAGCCGCACTGCCTTTATCCGGCACATTTGTGTACAGTACTCGAGTACTGGAGGGGCCCATGTACGGTCATCTAAACCCAATTGCTATTATTCGCAGCAAATGCACAGAGTTCCGTGTCGTCAAAGCCCAAATAGGTATCTATCACCGCACCTCGACACTTCACTATTGAATGACTCTTCATGCTGGCCGGTGGGTTGATTGAATCGACGAAGGACACCTTCCCTAGCTGCAATATGATGGGCGAACTCGGTAGTTTGGCACGGAGTCCATATTTACGTCGGGTGCGGCGGATTACGGGCACCCGTGCTACGTATGATACAAATACAGCGTCGTGATTCACTTTACTCGAGTACGAGCGCTGTACCTCTTAGGTTCGGAAACCTTGGGTCCTACCGCCGGGTCACTGCGCGGTCAGAGCTTCTCCAAGCTAAGTAGCGGGTTCAATATTCGGCAGGAGTATTTAACCCTCCAAGTTGCGAATTAAGGTTCCTAAGTGCTCAACCCTTGAAGATATTGTGGGAACGATCTACTTTACAAATGAGGGATACCCTGCTTTTCCTTTATAAGCTTCTAGAGGGGTTCGGGTTAGTGGTATGTTATATCGGAGGCGAGTCCATCCAATTGTTAGAAGTCAGGACGCTTCACACAAGAAAAGCACCTTGGCGTAATTCAACGAGTTCCGGAAGTACAAATTATGAATCTCCTCTTTCAAAGCGCGTTGGGTTTGTAAACTCGCAGAGCTAGCTACTCTCTCATATCAAAAGGTTTCAGCAACTTACGAAATTTTCAGGCGCACCAAAAAAGTCTTGGGTACAGCCACAGGTTCTCGAGACCCGTTGGCAAGCCTGGTATTCAAAGCCGCCGAGACTGCCGGAAGACCCGAGATATGCGCTCCATCATATTTTTGCTGCGGCGCTGAACTACCGAGATTGACTTATAGCCCCCTGTGATCATTCATATCCGACGCAGAGCAACCCTTGCGTTGTGCCGCCCAGTGATGCAGCTGGCCACATCACGGCTTCGACGCCTGGCAAGTGGAAGCCAGGTGATCGGGTGATTCTACTCCCTAACATGTTCCGGCAGCAAGCCTTTGACCGGCGAGATATGCGCGTGAACGGGTCCCTTAGAAATGGAAACCATGGGCGGGGGATTGACCTAATGCGCAGTTATCAAAGAGGGCACTATCTCTGTTACACCTGCTAATTCAGGATGGGAAGAAGCTGCAGCACTGGCAGTTACACCGGAGTAGTAATCAGCATCCTATTTTACGGGTAGCGACCTACCCAAGCAGATGGTATTGCACTGACTTAGGGGTTGGAGGCATTTTCAATATGGCACTTCAGGTATGCTTGACAAAATCAGAGGAATGCTAGAAATACCGCATCTCGAGATCAGTTGACCAAAGCTGCTGGGGCCACCGCAACTTCGCCGCCAGCCGATAAGGTTCAGATGTCGAAAATGATTGTGGTGAAGCACCCACCCAGCTACAAAAACGCACCCAATTGAACCAAGGCAGCCCTAGATCTGATCGAGGATATCGACGCCGACTGCGTGATCGGCTTGGGAGGGTCATCAATTATTTCTTGTAACCTACAGGTGGCCCGCCCATGGGGTCTCGTAGATGTGGTAGGTTCCGGGTGGATTCAGGGGTGACAAGGGGCTTGATCTTGTTAGTTCCATATTATTCAGAGCCGAAATAGGTGAGTCAAGACACCTAATTAAAGGCTAGCCAGCATCCTTACTAAATTGGTTTGATAGTACTAGAGTCTTGATCGCCGTCAAGCTAGTGTTTGAGAACTATTTCCAAATTGTAGAGACATGATATCCTCTCGCATATCGGGAGCGTTTGGCTAGGGCTGAGCGGAAGATGCATGTTTGGAAGTCTCGGACAAAGGGTTGCCGGGAAAAGTGTGGCTGGAGTTCTATGATACAGATGCCTTTGAACCCCCAAATGACCGACACCCATCACTTCCAGAGTTCACCATCTAAAATACTTGTGTATCCGAGCTAAGAATGGGCACCTCCCCTGGAGTAGCCCCCACCGTCCTATAAAAAGTATGGTGTTTTTGCTGCTTTCCAATGGGATGCATCCACTGCCACCACAGTGGTGGTAACAAAT